TATCTCTCGAGGTCTCATTCGGCCATATATACTATACATACATTCCTGGCACGATCCACTCTCACTATCATTCGGTCTCACACGATTTCTCGCGAATCGCGATTTACGCTTGAAATGTACAACGTCACCGATAACCGGGGAAGTAGTAATTTAGTGACTCAATGTGTAGTAGCACAACGAGACATCTGTGCGAACAATCTACGAGGTATCAGCTGTGCTCGTAGATACGTGCTCAGGGGAAATCACCTCGTACCTCCTCGTGTTATCGCGATTTCATGTCTGCATAACACCAGCCTTTTATCGGACCTAAGTACTTCGATCAAAAGTAGAGGGGAAAAACTGATAACAGAGTTCAAATGGGTCTTCATTTAAAGAGCATCAACTGATCTTGCGCGGAAAATAATAAATGAACCTGAATCACTCAAGATGCAAATTAGAATTTTATTTATTCGCTACAAATTATCCGCAGATTATTAATTTTATAAGTTTACGAATGAATGAATGTAACCGTGAAACGTTAATAAAACTTGAGGGGAGAGTCTCTCTTTCTCTTTAAAATTAAATGATTGAAATGTAACATGTATATCGATAAGAATCAAATATTTACTTTTTATCATTGTCTACTAAATAGTTAACTACTGAGCCATTTCTTGACCCTACACGAATCGGAAAAATCTTGTCCAGACCATTCGAAGTGATTTCCTTCGCATGAGGCGTGTGTGCCATTCGACTAATTCAATATGTCCGTGATTGGAATGCCATAACTCGATTCTGGAACGAAATAGCTTCATCGACTTTGCGCCGTGCGGACTAATTGCTCCTGTCTGTATCCTTATTCCGCGATGATTCTTTTAAGTCGGTATTACATTTGTCGTACGACAAATTTTTTAAGTGTGTTGATGGGCTGCAGGACACTGTATTAATATAATATTTAATTACTTTTGCACTCATTTGTCCTCTTCTACGATATGTTTCAGCGAGATGATAAGAACGAAATGAGCGAGTCGCTCAATACCGTCGTAATGGAGACTTCGTATCCCGAGCCCGAAAATTGCCTGAAGGTCTCGCCGATGTTGAACGTGGCGCGGCAGGACTCGGGCGTACCGGAGGATCTCGCCTCGCCTCTTAACGGAGAGGAGGATGCGGACCTCACTATGAACAGTGAATGCAACATCACCGTTATTCACATCACCGAGTCGCAGAACAACAAGGCGAACGACAAGTCGCTGGCCGAGAATAAGGACAGCAAGGACGGCAGCGACAGCGGCGTCGAGGGTTGCGCGACGGAAGTTCCGAGAGTGAGTTTCAAGTGTGAAGTCTCATTCGTAGAGGGGATAAAAAATCTTTTACGCGCTTTCACTATGTAAAAACCGTCAAAAACGTCCAGACGATGGACAGATCCTAGTCCTAATTGGTTCTTTATTTACACGACATTTTCTTCTTGCAGGTACGCAGTAGAAATAGCGTCGACTACACGAGTAGTTGCGGCGGCCTGGACGAGGCCTCTTGCGACTCCAGCCTCGTCAGTTGTTGCTCGGTGTACGAGGACGCGTGCGGTTCCACGTTGCCGGACGATGCGCGGCTAGGTACTACTGGCGGCGAAGGCACGAGCGAGGGCGGCAGCGAGAGCTCGTCCATCGCCGGCAGCGTGTCCGTGCGAACGAGCCGTATGAACGTGAAGAGGACCGCGACGACGTCCAGCGCGGCCAAGAAGAAGATCACGGGCGGTACCGAGTCGCAGAAGTGCGTTCGCGCGAAACCAACGAGCACGACCGCGAGCGCGAGCTTGGGCGCGACGACGCCGCGGTCCAAGTCGCGAACAGCAACGCCTAGAAACCTAATGGCCAAGATTCCAGGTGCGAGCAGAGAACGGGACCATCGACCACGATCGAAGGAGAAATTGAGCGCCCGGGAATCGAGCGCCTCCCTCGTCTCAGACGTCACCAAGACGCCTGTTGGTAGCCGTGGTACAGCGACGTACGGCTGTCGGTCCAGCAGCAACGTAGTGTCCAATTCGGTAGCCACTCCCACCTCGTCGTCGATCGCGAAGACGAGGACGAGAGTGCTGCCCGACTCGTTGCCGTCTGCGCTGACCATGGAGATCAACAAGGATCTTGCGCAACGAAGTGGGAGAATCGTCAGGAGCGATTCGTCGAGATCGAGGACCGCGTCCAGCACGCGAGGAGCGCGCACGCCGGCGTCCACGCCGTCCGAGGAAACGAGAGTGAAGATACCGTCCTTGGCAACTCGAACGCCCTGCGTGAAAAGTATCGGCTCACGCGCCGATAATAAAACTGCTGGTCAAGATAACAAGGCGCTCGATACGTATGCAACGTTGCCGCGTAGAAACAGAAATAAACTGACGATCTCGAAAGTTGGAGAGAAGACGGACAAGGCGGCCAGAAGTCGATCTGGAAGTCGAGACGTTAGCCTCAGCAGAAGCGTTGAGAAGAAAAGCACCATTGGGAGGGATTTGTCTTCCGTTCACAAAAGTCTGCCGCCTTATCCCAGGCAAAGAATCATAGAAAGGACTCGCATATATCACGAGACCAGCGCGCAGACCGGCTTGACCGGGCAGGACATCGAGAAGGCGATGTCTGGGCAACCGAACGCCATCGCTGGGCCCGAGGTTATCGAGAGACTGCACAAGGATTGCCAAACGGAGGACGCGTGGGACGACGTACAGACTCTGCAGGATAATTTGAGACGCTCGAATGAGACGAGCAGCAGTCTGCGGGAAGAGAACGAGAGATTGAAACTTCAGCTGGCCGAGGCGAATCGTCTTCTAGAAGAGGAACGGGCCGACCACGCCTTTGCACGTCAGGAACTCGATAGGAACGCGCAGCGGGTACTGGCTATGCTGGGAACGCCGCAATCGGAGCACGCAGGTAATTCAACGAATAATGCAAAGTTAAATGATAACTTTACTCATAATTAAAAATTTAGAGAAAGTAAAATGTGAAATCTCTTTTTTTTCCAGAGGGCAGCGACAGCTTCCTCGAGCTCGAGTGTCATATACAATCTTCGGGACAAGTTGTTGCTAATCAGCAAGTTGAAATAGCTGATCTGCAATCGCTCTGTCGTATGTTAAGCAGGGTAAGAATATCATGTCTACAGCAGTTTCTATAAAAATTATCTCTGTCAAGGAAATATCTTTTTATGTGACATTTTTGTTGAAGGATTTGGACAAAAGTCTAGCCGCGCAGAAGGCCTTGCTGCAACAGCAACAAGAATTGGAGGCCGAATCAGCTGAGATGCAAGATTTTCTCCAAGAGGAGAAGGCCACCTTGGTAGACGCGCTCAAAGATGCCGAGTTAGAAGTGTGTGTCTTTTTAATTCGTCTCTTAAGGTACGACGTATGTACCATTTCATGTCTGTCTGTCTTTTGTAGCTCAAGAAAAAAGGCGGAGCCTTAACTCAAAAAGAAACGGAATTGGAGAGACAAACGGAGGAGTGTAAGCATCTAGTGCGAATTAGCGAACAAAGAAGGTATGTGCTACACGAAAACTTTCGACAATATTTTTGCTAAACGTTATAAATTATATTTGAACAATTTATTATCTCGTTTTAGACAGGAAAATTTGTCAATGAGTCTAAAGTTGAATGCCGTTGAGCGGAGAAGCAGAGAACTGTTGCTCACTCAAGGCGCCGCCATGTCCGGAGCGGCTGTAGCTCTTTCCGGGCTCAGCACTAGATTGGAAGGATTGGTAGATCAATTAATTGCTTCTTATAACATCTCGGTAAAAGATCTTGAAGTAAGTACAGTGATAAGAGTTTTCTTTTGCGCGTCAAGTAATTTATATTCTTATTAGTCAATAGCTGTTTTATACAAATGAAAAATAACATGCTACCTCCTATAAATAAATATAATAGACAATCACAATAGATGGAGGGCTAACATTTATTATTTCTCTCTGCTGACTTTCCTTCTAAATTTAATAATTAAAAATTATTTTCTTTCATTATTAGAGGGTTTAAATTAAATAATAATTTTTTCCCATAAAGGACGTTATATATCATAACGAAGCGTACAGCAGAAGTAACAGTAGCGTGGAGTCTAGTCCGGTTAGTTCTAAGCAGAGTTTAAAGGAACGCACGCCGAGCCCGAAGAGCGGGTCCTTCGTTTCCGCGGTGATCAGCGCAATTCGAAACGCCGCGACGCATCCCTTCGCGGCAAGAAACATCGATAAAAAGTCCGGCCTGGACTCGTCTAAACAGATTTACAAAGGTAATTGAATACGAATGAGATAAGCTAATGAGATAAGGTGATTATCCTCCGATTTGTTGAAGGCACAATTTTTATTTTCTAGAACTAAGTATGGAATCGTCGTCCGACTTGCTCGATTTCGAAACTGAGCCATGTTTGATGATGGAAAGCGTCCTGGAAGACGTACCTTTGCCAGACACGTACTCGCATAACATGATATCGAGCAGCGATTCTCTACGTAGAGCACTGAGTTACTCCGAAACGTCGGACGAGCATAATATAAGGAAGACAAAATACGGCGATGAGTGTACTAGCCTGACGAATCTCACCCAGGCGATCCTGCATCGTCGTAAGGCAAGCGTCTGAGAGAAATCAACTCATATAATACTAAAAGTCTGATGTAGTATTCATTAATCGTATTAAAACTTGCAGGTGGAAGACGAAGGTGACGACGATTGCGACTCCGTGAGCGAATCTGATACCGGGACCAATGACGGTCCTATACCTTTGATAGATTACTGTCCATCTGTAGATCTCGTCGATCAAGTGATCGAGGTGGACAATCTCGTTACCAAACTTCTGAAAGTGCTACGAATCATACAGCTTGACAACGACACGTGTATACAGGAATTGAAAGAGGAGAAGTGAGTGTTCAGTAAATCTTGATCGAGTCATGACGATTAAGCTCCAATTATTAATTATTCGGGAAACGTTATCGTTTGCAGGTCTAATCTAGAGATAAAATTAGAAGCCGCTATAACGGAATTGAACGAGCTTCGCAAGATCATCGATAATCTTCATCAGTCGCCGGAGGAAGTCCTGAACAACGTGCCGGATCGGCGACGTAGCGTTGTGGAGAATTGCCGAATTTTGCTCAAAGAGGTAATTGCCGGCGATGTCGCCGATACATTCTTATAGTGTGCTTCTTCCACGCTACTGCCATATTTCAACATAGATTATTGACTTTTCCGAAAGTGATGTCAAATGATATGATTCCTCTGTAGGCGGGTAAGGAGGAATTAAAATTTGACGAAGCCGTACTTGCTAATAGCAGTCCCGGCGAGATAGACTGCGAATCTCTATGCGATTGAGGTGACTTCCGCTTAATATTTTAAAATATCTTATTTCATATATATATATTTTTTCCTAGCTGTTACAAATTATTTAAATTCTTAAGAACGTCAATTTTCTGAAAGTCTGAATTATTATATTAAACATCGACGAACGTTTGATAAAAGTGGGATTTCTAATTTCGATATGAGCAAATCTCCAAGGGAGTTTAGATAGATATAAATTAAAATTATATATATTTTTCCTTTTCTCGTAACTGCATATTTTTGTGCGCTTTGTGATGTTAATTCCAGGCTGAATGTAGTATTGTACATGTGTATATTGATATGATGTCATATGTCGAAATTGCAAAGAATAACTGAATCAAATTTGAATACGAGCTCGTCGCTGTTTTTAAAATAATTGTAAAAAAATGATTAAAGAATAAATGATTCTGGTTAAAATTACAATCGACCATAGCTAATTACATAAGCGTGTAAAAGAATATTAATGGGATATTTAATTTTGCTGATTGTATCTTTTTTTCACGGGCATTGGGTAAAATATATTCACGAATAATAAATAACGATTTTAAATATATATTTTTAAATGTATTAGCGTATATAAAATATATATTTTATATGTCTAAATTATATTTGTGTCTAAATGTATATTTGAACATATATTTGTGTGTGTGAATACGTTGTACAATACGCTAGTACACTTTTTGTGAAAATACAAAATTATAAATCGTTATTCGTTATTCGCGAATGTATTATATCCAGTGCCGATTCCCACCGAGTACAATTGATCGTAGAAGTTTAGATTCGGTGCGTAAAATAATTCTCCGACATGCGAAACTGTTAGATTCATAATAAAAGATTGATTTCAAGATTGCTTTTTCATTCGAGACAAACAGGGTATCCTACACTTAAGATAATAGCATTTAATGGAAAATACAACGGGTGCAAAATACTATCCTGTGAAATGAAGAAGTAGAGCTTGGATACTTTTTATTGTGTCTTCGATCCTGTAACTCACATTACTGTAATTACTATGTGGCATCCAAGAAGATAGTGAAATGTTTTATGACAAATCGTAGATGTAAAAATGCTTAAAAAATCTGAGTAGACGAAGACTAGAAAAAAACATTTATGCGATTATTTGTGTGCGTGCGTGCGTGTGTATAATTTATTTCTCTTTTTTTTTATCTAAGAATGTACATACGTCAGTATCTCTAGGATTTATAATAACTCCCGAAGACCTGTTGCTCGGTGAAATCAAAGTTGAGGTTTATTCTAAATCGTTGAGACGTTTCCTCTATCAAAATAAAGCTTTGCTTTAACTTAGCTTTAAGCACAGGAAACATTGTGATGACACACCAAACAACAACACATATGTATTTTAATGTTTAATCAAATAAACTTTCATATCTCGAAGATGCACATAATTACGTATACATAACTTTAATAATATAATTAAAGTAGATTATATCACGCAAGTGCATAAAGAGCTCGCGTTCGACATTCACGATTGTTCCATAAGCAAGTGAATGGCGATTGTATGCTGTGGCGCTAAATCAAAACGAAGTTATAGCTAACGCCCTAGACGAATGTTGCATTTAGCTCGTCTAACATGTAAATACATATGTGGGTACCGAAGCACAATCGCCCGTTACATTGTACGGATAAGGTCAATGAAATCGTGACTTGTGCAATTTAATGTATTTTAAAAGCCATCCTTTAAGTTACAGAGAAATGAACACGCCAGATAACGCTATCGATTAGCGCGTCCCCTTATTGATACTAAGACATCATATAAATGCGTGGTACGACATCGAGTTGATCATACACGTTATATTCTACGAGTACTCGTCCAGCAACCCTGCTGATATCCTATCCCTGTGGAGAGAGGGAGAGAGAGAGAAAGAGAAAGAGAGCACGGTCCTCTTTAAACATCTTATTTGAAATGGTTATAGCTTTGAAACGTAGAACGATGTTATTGAGAGGAAAGGAGAATATCGTTTTCTTAATATATGCTGTAGGCGGAACACTATGTGTATTGGAATTGCGAGCGTTGAGGAGTCGCTTTAGTGCACGCTTGTGCCCCGCATGCGACGTATCAAGGGCGCCAAGAGATTCGCCAACCGTACAGCTGGTTGCCTGGAACACGAAAGGATCAACGTCGAGAGAGTGTACACTGTATTATTTTTATAATAAGAGAATTGAAAAATTACGCGTGATACCAATTGCAATAAGATTAGAATTAAGAGATTGATATAATTATAATTAATGTCAATAAAATTAATTATCAGGGCAACGACACGAAGTAGACGGATTCTTACTTGTGTATTGTCTTCGAGATCGCCTGTTCAGTTTTATTGTGGGCATCGTTACTGTGGGCACCGTCAACGGCGGGTTTGTCCGGGTCGCCGGCGGGCTGGCTCCCAGTCGAGGACGCGCTATGACTGTTTATCCCTGGGATCAGATTCTCTGTCGTTGGTGTGCCGGCAGCCGCGGCCAGGAGCAGTGCCTCGACCGGCGCGAACACCATTACGAAACCGTCTACGTGGATACGGTAGTTGTCGGACCCGTTCTGCCGCTGATCGTAGAAATCGGTGGCATCGGGGTACGTGGACGTCGGCGCGAGGGTTACAGCCTGCGCCTCCTGCGGTACCACCGACGTGACCTCGGTCTTGGTCTCGAACTCGACCGTGGACTCGGTCGGCTTGTCGGCGATGGGTGAACACCGAACGCCCGCGCCGAAGAACGCGATGAGCAGCACAGTCTTGAACACGCGCATGTTGATCGATAACATTGATGAGCGGCTACTCGTCGAGTTGCCTTCCACTCGACCGCGACTCGTCGACTTGTCTTTTATTCGCGGTGGCTCACGAGCTGCCTCTGACTCTTAAATTACGGCTCTCTATTCGATGCCGATCGAAACCGGCGACTTCGGAAAACTGCGGGATGCTCTCTCCTCGGCGCCGGACGTGAATTTGCCAAGTTACTTCCTGCCCGACGGACGTGAGCTCGGGCCGACAGCTTTTTGCGACTCTTTAAGCGAGACGACGCGGAAACGCGATTGGGCCGGGACCGGTGCCGCGAGATGCGACGAAGGCGGAGAAAACGACGGTCGGAGAACGTGGGACGTGTCCGGACAACACGGAGGATGCTCGAGGTGTGATGACCGGGCGATGTCTCGTACCAGAGGACGATCCCGATCCCCACCTGGGCGATCCGAACCTGAGCCTTCCTCCGGTCGGCTCTAGAAACGGATCCCCGGAAAAGTTCAAGAACCTCGGCGTACCGACGGCAACCTGCCGCTAACGGCACATACATCGTCACGGCACTGTGTTGATACGCCGTAAAATTCTTGTAATTTATGCGAGAATCGCGGGGAAGATTTCAGCACGATTAATCTGAAAATATCTTCTCCGCGCGCAATTTTATGAGCCAACTTTCAGCAGTAAAGTCGACGTTACTTTCAAGAAGGTACATTACTTAACATTTAAGACGTTTCTCCTTAGGAACGAGCTAAAGATATCTTATTTTTTCGTGCTATCTCAATTCTAAGATCAAAATTTTAACGTACGTTCACGTTTTTAATTAAAATTTGACGAAAGGTTTGCTTGCGACGTCGTCAGATAACGAGGTCTCGCCGTTCTTTCTTTCTATTTTCAGTCGCTCATGATTCAAGGAGCATTCGTCCTGCGGCTAATTGCGGTTTCTCGCCACTTGGCCTCCAGCTGAGAGGAGATGCGCGACGCTGGAAACGATCCGTGACATTCCTCGAGCGTCCACCCCGTCCTTATTACACTCGGATCGCAGGAGAGGAGCATGGGCCAGTATTAATAGCATTAACTCGAGGACGAGGACACGAGGTGGGACCGCAGAGGCTGAGGCTCCCGCTCCTCGTCAACGACGTATCAATCGCGCGTTGAACGTCCCTCGCGGCGATAACCAGTTTTATTCAAAGGGAGGAGCGAGAGGTGGGAAGGAGGAAGCGCGAGATGATGTCAAAGACAGAGCGAATAGTTATCACACGCGCCGCCGCAGGTGTGTGTACGTGCACGTTGTACGTAGGTGTGCGCCTATAGTCACCAATCTCTGTAAAGGGCAACGTCCTATCGTGGCCGTTCGCAGCGAGTTCGTTTCCCCGATCTGCCCGTCTCGCAGCTTGGCGCCTATTACCGTAACCTTGCCCTTGCTCTCTCCTTCTCTCTTTCTTCCTCGCTCGCGCTTCCGCCTTCGCGATGGGAACCGAGACGACGCGGAATCGCCGCCTTGGGGAACGACCTTTCCGAAAAGTCCCGGGACCGCGCGGCTCGTTTCCTCGAGATCGGCGAGATCGCGTTTCGCGGGATTCTCAGGGTGAGGATTCGATTCCCGAAGACGAGCGCTATTTATATCCCGCGGCGACGAGAAGGGAACAAGTAGGAAGTACGGAAAGGAGAAGAAAGTAGTATTAGCGGTCTTCGCGTACCTCTGATTCCCAAGAGCGATTCTCGATTTGGATGTGAAAATTGAATCGCAATTAAAAGTTAGAATTACAGATTCCCCAATAAAAGTATTCTTTCGCGACTTGCACTTATATTTAAATACATGTCCACGTTATTGTTGTTGCTTAAGTATTTTATTGATCAAGTAGTTTAACAGATACATATGTAAATCTCCATACACGTACACTTTACGTAGTATGATAATCATCTCACGTTAAGCGCGCGATTTAACCGCTAAATCAATCGCAAACAATTCCTCCCGTTTTATCTTATATGGCTCTTGCACTAATAAGCAAAGGAAAATGAGCTCGATCAGCAGGCGTGATAAATCGTGAGAGACTTGCGCTAAATGGAAAGTACAGTAATCGCACCGTGGCGGATAATCGCGTGATAACAATTGGTACGTTTTGATGTTTTAAGAGCTACAGCCGCGGGAGCTTAAGTCTACAGGTGAGAGCCGGCCGGACCGTCGAACTGGCAGACGCCGGATGCGTCGCGACGCCTCCCCGGACCGCAATTCTCGACACCGTCGCCCAGCAGTCTCAGCTCCTGCTGCTTCTCCTCGGCGAGCGGCGACACGTCGTTCTTGCCGGCGCTCGGCGCGACGTCCTCTTCTCCCGTCTGAGGCAGCTGCTTCTTCAGCGACGTGCCCGGCCTTCCCGGCTCGACGTCAGGGGTCCAGGCGTTCCCGACGACGTTGCGCGCCCGACCGCTGCTTCCCGTCTTGGGCCTGGACGGCTTCCTCGCGCTGGCGAAGTACCCCGGGACGGCCGGCACCTCGCGGCTCTTCGGGAACTCGAAGTTCTTGACGTTCCTCGCGACCCTCTCGGCTCCTCCGGCCGGCTCGTAGCCGACAGGCGTCGCTCGCTGATCCGAGACGCTCGACGTTCCCGCGTCTTCTTCCGCCTTCCGCACCGAGCCGTCCTTGTCCAGGTTCTCATTTAGCTGTACAATCTCCACGGAGAAGGGCTCGTTTTGGTGAGCCCCCTCGCCGGACTTGAACAAGCCGTTCTTCGATCGGGATATCATCTGGTCGAGAGCCCCCAGCGCTGCTTCGGTTAAAGGCCCGCCTAAGTTCGGGACGGCCACGACGAAGAGCAAGTTCTCCAGCTTGACTTGCGCATTCACGCTGCCTTCCTGCCGCTGGTCGTATCTCGTCGGGGCGGCGCGGACCTCGGGGAGCGCGAGGAACGCCGCGCCGAGGAGAAACAGCATCCGGACCGTCGTCATTCTCTTCGTGGTGCTGTGCACGTCGGCGCACGTGGTGCTTGCGTCGCGTACGAGAGCGGGCAGACCGGGAGATATGCGTGCGAGTATACCCCGCGGTACAATGGGCTCTTCGGGCTGAACGCGAGCGAGACGAGCGAGGTCCTTTCCGCAACTGCGACGACCGCGCGAGTAGCGGGCCCGCCGCACTCGCAGGACCGTTGCGCGAACCGGTACACGGAATCTGTATGATAGGGGGATCCATCTCGCCGCAGGATTATAGGACACGACGCCACGTCGATTGGCGTGAGAACGAAACCTCGTCGTACGCGCCGACGGACGTGCGGATGACCGTATCGCCGATTCCAACGGCGCGGCTAATTGCAGATTACAAACGAACGGAGAGCGGAGAGCCAGGCGTGACGATCAAGAGGAGTCGACGGTTCAGATAAAACGGAGGAAATTTTGCGAGCTTTTTTTTTACGAGATAAGAATATACGCGGTTGCTCCTACGAGTATACTTTTTAGTCATGTATTACATTTTTTTCTTTCTTTATTTTAGGAAGATGTCCAGCGATGAAGTTCGCCGTACAGGGCTGCGAGAGGGGAAGAAGCGCACCGAACGTGCCCCGAGATAATCGCGAATGCGGGATTCGCTTCGTCGTGCGAAGGCAAAAAAACTCGATAGTGCTCTTTCTGGCAATAACACTAGTCGTAGCAAGTAAGGGAAGATATGTATGTTAACGTGGCGAGTTGAGAAAGTGAGTTGAGAACCTTTTGTAAACCAAGTCCACCTCTTGGCTAAGAGCTGAAGTTAAATAAATTGATTGATAATGCTCTCGCTTGTGGCTCATCCGAGTGAGATAAACGGGCGAAGGTCTTATCAAGACCTGTGACTTTTAAGTGAAATCGTACTTTAGTACGACGGTTATACCAAAACGCCCGTGTAAACCTTCCCCACTCGGATGAGCCAGAAGCAGAATCGTCCTCAGGAGCACGAGTCTTTTCCTCGATCACGAAACATTCCATTGACGGATATTGAATTCTTCATTTTCACGAGTTCATGCTCGAGGAGACGATTCGTGCTCGAGCCCCAGGTGTGAAAAGAACGTTCCGCCTGGGGCGCCACGCGGTGAAGAGGTCTTTCAACCAAAGTGGGAATTTCTGATACCGCAGGCGTTGCATCATCCGGTTACGTCACCCCTTGCGAGGCATCGGACCTGTTAACTTCGTTCATCGACTCGCACACGACTTTTGCGCCAAAGCAACACGCGGTTTGGCTCACCCACCCACCCGTAGACAATCTGTTAGCTGTCGGTCCCGTTGTCAAGTAATACGGAGCCGATCAAATTAAGAAGAAGAAGAAGAAACTCAATGCATATATGGCACATCTCCGGAGGACATTTATCTTATATTTACCCCGGGCTTTTCCATCGGGGCAGAGGGGCGTTCGATCGCGGTCGTACTCACGGCAACAAGCGAGTGAGCCACGGTCGACTCGCCCGCCGACAGCGTCCGTCGCCGTTCGGGACGTATCCGGATTTGCAGCGCTTCTGCGACCGCGGGCCGTGCGCGGGTCTCGCCGTGGCCGAGGGAGCCGTTCCGGCTCCATCTTCCTCTTGCTCCTGCTCGCTCGGCTGGCTCTTATCGTCGTTCTTGTCCGCGTTTGGTGCCGAGCCCGCGGTACCGTTCGACGAGTCGGCGGCGTCCGGGATCCCCGCGCCCTGGGACAGCGGCGTCGCGTCGCTCGCGGTACCATTCGACGGAGCGGCGCTCGCGACTCCGTTCGCGTCGCCGACGGACGCCGCGGTGATCGAGTTTAGCGGCGGGACCGGCTCGGCGGCCTGCGTGATGTCGTTTCTCTCCGTGGTCCCCGCAGTCGTGGGACCCGTGGTGGGCCGGTTGCCCGGCTTCACGGTAAAGTCGGCGTAATCGTAGAAGTAATCGTAGTCCTGCGAAGGCAACGCACGATATCAATGGTGAATGCCGACGTTTCGTCAGCGGTACTCGGGGCAATTTACTACTTGCTCGGCGTAAAGTATGAAGGGCGTAAAATGTAAAACGCATCCCGTATGTAAAGCATCTAAGGTGGACTTTGTAAATTACAGGCCCGCCTCGACCTCGCGTCAAGTTTGTCACATAGGACTGCAGGTTTACAAAAGCCCGAACAGGCCACGACTTCCTTCGGTCACAAGTTAAAGTGGCGCGGCGAGATCGAGTGGGTACATCGTCGCGCGGTTCTCTTCGTACGCGTCCTCTAAAAGCCAATCGGTCGATTATCACTGAAAACAGCGAATACTCACCGATTCGCAGCTATAAGTATACCACTGAATTATTTTTATACTTACAACTGTTTTCAGTGACGCTGATCGACTATCGGAGAGTCCACAAGTCTTTTCCGGCGAGGAAGGTGGTACGAAATAACTCGAGGGGGGAAAAGAAGAACAGAGAAGAGTGCGCGCCAACGGGGAGGAAGAGGACTGAGAAGAGGATCTCGCGTGCCTCCTATGTGAAGGGATTTACCGTGTAGTCGTCCAGGAGCTCGGAGTTGAGCAGCGCGACCACCTGCAGGTTCTTGAGCTCGATCTGCACATTCAGGTCGCCGGTCTGCCGCTGATCGTAGACCGCCTTGGCCGACGCGGGGGGCGTCGCGGCGGCGACGCGGCAGGCGGCGATAACGAGGAGGCCGCGTAGGGCGAGCATGATCCGTCCGGCGCGGCTGCGAGCGTTCCTGACGTGGCGAGGACTGAAAAATGGACAGCGGCCTCCGTTCGCCCTCCGGCGGGAACCCGCCGGCCCGCGCGAGCGATTCGGTCCCGCGTACGCGCGTGCAAAACCGGTATACGCACCGCGGACTCTGCGCGGACACCTCGTCTCTCCTGTCACCTCCCGGCGCCTCGCGTGGCACACGCGGGGCGAGTACGATGCCCGGCCGTTGCCCTCTCGCGCGCCAACGCGGTCTACCTTGACAGCCGGCCTTCGGAACGGCCGCGTAACATCGCGTGCGTACACGCGATCGGATTCGCCCGTGTATTATATTTTCGTACGCCTCCGTATACGCCGGTGCGATCGCCAAGCGCCTCGCCCATGACGGTAGATCGTCCCGGGGACCCGGGACGGGCGGCCGGCACCTGGCGTCCGCTCGAGAGATTCGGTCGAATGCTTCGCAGATATGTAGAAATAAGAGGAGGAGAGAGAGAAAACTGCGACAGCGCGTTTCGCGTATCCTCGCCCTCGGCGAACCTTTGCCACATGTACCGCGTTTTAATTCGCCGCTCCTCTCGACGAAGAGAGGAGTCTTCCAGGATCCCGAGCAGCACGGTGCATCGACCCCGATATTCGGGTGCATTGGGCGGACGTTTAGCCGGTGCACTGTGCTACCAGGGACGCGGAACATCCGTGGAACGGTGCGAGAGATAATCTCGCGTCGATCTCGCGTTTTCCTCGTGAATTTTAATCAGACTCTATCCATCTCCGAATCAGCTGCGAGACAGAAAGCTGGAGTTTCATGAATTTCACGCGCGGCATTGCGTTTCATGTAAATTATCGACGCGACGCAGTGACGTCCGGTATAATCCAATCATACTTCCCATCTCTTCGAATGCTTCACGTGCTGCAAATAAAAAAGATGAGAAACGTACAGACGTTACTTCAGAGAACAATAGAATTACTCCGAGGATTGCTGTCTCGCGGTACCGTCCGCGTTTTCCCCGTTCGCGCGCGACTTTGCGCGATCCCGCGAGACTTCAATGCCTGTGGTAGATGCCGAAGCGTCCCCGTGCCTCGCGCGAACGTTCGAAAGGCGCGCGGCTGCGCCCGCGGCGCGTGCACACTTTCCGCACTTTCCCGTCCGCGCGCATTCGCGTGCGCGAGGGTGCACGTGAGACGCGGCTAAATTCGCTCGTTACGTCCGCGCCTCCCGTGCGTCCCGTCCTCCCCCCCGCGACGTCCGGTCGTCTACGTGCCAAGTGCGCAAAGTATGACGTAGCGCGGGCGACGCGGGGGCACGGGCTCGTCGGCGGAGTGCAGAACCCCGCCGGACGTGCCGCCGCTGCACCCGCCTGCACCTGCGCGCGCGGTGCGTAATGTGTCGTAATCGCGAGAGCGATGCGCGAGACAACAGTGATCTGTCACCTCGCACGCCCGTGATGACGCCGAGGCGGAGTGCCGCGCGGCGCCGCGTGCGCGCGTAGCCGCCCACGCCCGGGTGCGTACGTCGTGCGTCGTCGCCGCGGACCGGCGCCCGTTTCCCCCGAGCGACCTCGGCGCGGGGGCCGCCGTTGAACCGCGCTCCGTGGGATGCGCGCACGCTGCACTCGCAGCAGCGCATCGTCCGTTGTTTACCTTTCGGCGACCCTCATCATGCTACGCGCTCGCACGAACGATGCTCCAATTTTTTAAGAAGATCGGTAATTATATCGCGCGCACGCCAGGGCCGCGGCGTAGATTGACGGGCGGCCCGCGACCTCCTCCCCCTCCCCCGGCCGGGGGCGCGCGGTCCTGGTCCCGGAGAAGGCTGACCTCCTGACATTTGCACGCGCGACACGTCTCGCTTTCCTCTCCTCCTCTCGCTTCTTCCTCTCCGCCGAGATACTGCGCCGTTCGCGTTGCAGTTTTGCCTCCTCCTAACGTACACATGTCTCTCTATTGTACATTCAAAGCTGAAATTAGTTTGATTGCCCGGTAACCAGCCTGGCGGATAGCTTGTTTGTGACGGCGCGTTTCTTCCCGCACACCCTCGAGGATCGTAACGAGATTGACGCTTGCAGGGCAGAGGGACAAGTCCGGACTACCAGAAACCTCACCCACGAAATCGGCGAGCTCGGCGAGCTTCCTGGCGGATGCATTCAACGGCGGCGCGTCGTCCATTCGGACGCCCTCAGGTGTACTGTGCAATCTCGAGGAAGAGGAGGAGGAGATTCTCAACAGTGACGCCGAGGGTGCGCGCGTCCTCAGCTCCCGGCTGTCCAAGGCCCTGCCGGAGGTACTTAAGGACAAGAGCGCGCTCGGCTACTTCATCCAGTTCATGGACACCAGGAAGCGCATAGCCCTCATCAAGTTCTGGCTGGAGGTGGAGTGCGTGTGCAGCGCATCCGGGATGCCCGACGCGCAGAGAGTCAAACGGTCAAATCAAAAGGAGCCGCTGGACGCCCTGCCCGCTTCCTTAGACGATAACGAGAACTTCAGCTGCGACGTGGACACTCGGACGAGCGGCGAGACGCTGTTCGACGGCAGGACGGACGACGCGGCGTCCAACGGTATGCCAAAGACTAGTCAGGCGGCGAGCGAGACGCGACAATCAAACCATTGTGGGGGTGGAAGACAGGACGCGACAACGAGCAGGCAGGACGCTTTGAGGATCTACAGGAAGTACATTCTCAAGGAAGCTCTGGGTGCGAATCAAATATCCGAGGAATTGAGGGTAGATATGGAGCGGGCCATTGTCCAGGAACACACTGAGCCTATATTACGGTGCCTATCTGCTGTTCAAAGCATAGTATACGATATATTAGAGAACGAGTGAGTGTTACGCACGTTCGTTGGACGCGCCGTTCGAGTCGGTAATCGACGCGACATGAAAATTTGTACACTTTTCTTCTTTCTCGCAGATATATTAATGATTTTCTACGAAGCGAATTTCACTGCAAGCATCAAATTGACGTGCTCACCAGTGGCAATGTACAACTAGCGGATATATTATACAACGAGCCGGCGTTCTTCTACTTCATGGAGGTTCGCACCGCAATCCACTTTACTCCGGCAGAAATTTCCGCGAGAGATCCTTTTCACGTTCTTCACATTCCAGTTTATGGAACTCGAGAACAAGCGAGAGCTGTTGTCCTTTTTGATGGCCGCCAGAAGCTACAAGCAGAATCTTTTGGAGAAGAAGGGAGCGGCCAATCCCGAGGAAGCGCAATCCGACGCCGTTATTATATACGAGAAGTAACTTCTATATAAATCTACGAGTATTGCACGGAGGAAGAGAAGTGGACCGATTTAAACGAATGTTACTGCTGTTTTTCAGATATTTCAGCCTGCAAGCAACCACGCCTCTTGGATTTAGCGACAAGATACGCTTTCACGTGGAGCAGAATATTTGCCGCGAGGACAAGAGCGGCCCGCAGCCCGATTGTTTCGATAAGCCCAGTAAAATTGTATATAATTTTCTCAACAAGGTACACACTTATTTACCACACACACAGATCTGCCTAAAACACGGCGCACTCACTACACGGACTCTCGTATCAAAGTAGTTGTATTAAAGGCCAACACTGTCTTGCAGCACTATCTCCCGGCGTTCTTATCATCGCAGCTGTATTATAAATACTTATCGGAGCTAATCAGCACGATTCAGACCAGTCCGTGTCCGAGTTTACATTCCAAGATAAGAAGAACAGGTTGGTATCGATGGTTCCAATAACATGTCGCAATGCCTAAGAGCTATTGAGGAATATCGTATCTTTCAATAAGTGATTTTATATTTATATAATTTTACGCAACTTTATATCTGTACAATACACGATGTTAATTGGAGGATACGTGTACTTTTATATTTACTTGCAGGTTCAGATTGCAGCAGCGAAGTAAGCTCCGTGTGTACTAGTATGCAAAGTATTTCTCAAATTGGAAATAATGGTGGCAGACTACCTGATAATAAGAAAACTATCAACAGTCACTTGAACATCGACACGAGGCAACTTTACGATCCAGATTCTTTGTGGCGCCGTAACAAATATAGGTATATGATAATTTGACATTTTCAATTCGCGTATCTGTACTGATTTGTAAGCCGCGAATAATTTAATTTTGCATTTTGCAGTTTAAGCATTGGTTACGTTGACAACCTAGGTAGATTTATTACTGAAATAGAGCCTGATCCTCATAGGAAATACGGTGAGTTACACGCATATTTAGTTTAAGCAATATATGTACGTGAGATCAGGATGTACAATACCTTGTGTGCGCATATATTTCAGAATCTCGCCTAACTCGTGTTGTAAAGCGATTTGTAAATATAGAACAAGATAAGGTAAATATTTTATTCATTAATAAAAGCAATAGTAGTAATTTGTCCGCATATAATCGTTTGATTAATGCATTACGCGCTATTGATAGGCTAAAGAGGAACTAGCATGGAGAATCACCGAGATGATCATTCGTGAGATCACGTCTTTGACGCTCGGAGCCCCGCATCTTTCCTCTTGATGGTGCAAACCGGACGTGACGATTTTGAGGCTTGAGTTCTCCTTACGTATAGGTGTTTTATGTATTTGTGTAAGCTTTGTCCTTTTTATTTTAAACGTTAGCACAATAATGCTGCAGACTTTGCCAAAGTGCCAAACAGATAAACGGGAAATTCTAATTCATTTTGTAATGCATCTTAAAGAGGAAATACTATTACCAGGAAGAAACGTTTTATATTTTCGTATTTGGCATAACAATGAAATAACAGACACGAATTTGCTAATCAACGATTCAATCCCAATTTATAATTAGTGTAAATAACTTTATTAGAAATTGAAATACGTATATTTTAGTACCTTTCACAATTTGTTACGTAAAATAATTTGTAACGGTCTTGTAATCAGCATAATATCTGCTATATTTTTTTTGTGACGACTATTAAAAGATCTTCCTATTTTATTAATTTATTATAAAATACTCGACGAGAGCAAAGAACAATAATTTAACGAATACGTAATTCCTTCATCAGCCATCGCCGATTGCGACACCAGAAGCGAGAAAACCAATGCAAATGATTATCATTTATATCTATATAAGTCATAATTAAATATATATTCATGAAAATATTCATTTAATATGATAATATGATAAAGACACATCCCGAGACTTGTGTGTGTATCAAAAACATAGAATATTTAGGCTTAGTGTTAGCTATTCTTTTATTCTATTTTAAAACTTGGCCGTCGCTTATATACTTATTTTCGTACGTACGAAACTTGTTAATGCTCGTATTCTTCGCTTCTGGCAAGATGACTAATGTAGATATTGACGATATTCTTAAAATATAAGATTTTGTACTTTTTTCATTGCCAATTTATACGATGATGCAGTTGATGTTCAAATGGATAATGAGACACATGTACATACATACGATGATGCATGTGACCGCCGTTGGTCGTGATATTATGATATAGAAAAAGATATATTTTAACAGTATTTAGAGCGTATAACGCGTAATGTTTAAGTACAAAATGTTATTAATAACGAAACCCCTATTATACATATATTCTCTACTATTTTGTTATATCTTTTTATTTATGAGACTATTATACAACGCTGCAAAGGAATAATATCTACTACTTTTCAAAAAGACACGCTATCTCTTAAGAATAATTAAACAGTCTGTTGCGCATCGCAAATGCGTGTTACGCCGAATCGTCTCTTTAAAAGACTTGCATATATATAGTGCGTTTTTTTTCATTCTTCGTTGTTATGCTTTAAAATCTCGATTCTCTATAGATTACGATGTCTAAATATTAACTAAATTAAGTTACCATCTACTTTGTGTTTGCTATCACGAATGTATAATGTATAAAAAACTATATTTTAATACGACCTCTCTGTGTAATATATATATATATATTTAAAAAATCCTATTTTATAAAACATTTCCCATCGCAAGGTACTTCGAAAACTTTAATAAAAATGTCCTCTTCAGTCGGGACGCTCTGAGAAATCTTGTGAGGGAATCGCGCCTGAACGGAAATGCACGATCGCGGGTCTGATTTTATGATACGAAACTCTGACTTTATATATTAAATCTCACCTTAACGCTACAGTATGGCATACACTATGTACAGGTAAAAAATAGATTCTCATAGAGACGAAGATCCATTTATACTGACGTGCGGTGTTTTCTGTCTGTATCCCGTTTGCGGATTCAGCAATGGAGACGACTCGGAAACTTGCGCGCCTCTGTCTACATTGGCGATCGCATTTAAATGCAGATTGGTGTTCGACTTGAAGTCCTGACAGAACTCCAGACGCAACTTCTCCCTTCTGGTCCACGACTGATAAACGATCGCGTTAAAGAACGCTTGGAGAGGATTCGTCACGGCCTGCGGATTGAAAGGAACCTCGATCATTCCTCTGCGTTTGTCCGCGTGCTTGAAGTGAAATTTACACGAACGTACCATTATGTACCACAGAGCGATGATCGCCTTGATCGGCAATCGGAACCACAGGATCCACAGTAGCACCCCGTTAATTAGATTAGGCGTCCAGCACACGTAGTAGACCAGATTGATGAGAGCGAACTTCAATCTGATCGTGTGTAACAACCTGCGTTCCCTCCCGGTCATCTGAGCCATGCTGTGCAGAACCGCCGTCTCGAGGTCCCGCGTGGACGCGACGTACAAAATGGGATTGGCGATCATGACCACCGCCAGCAGCACATACGTGGCGAAGTAGTTCGGGAGGATACGGAGTACCGCGCTGGATAACGACGTCAGGTTGTGGCAGCTGCAAGATGACAATTTCGCCTGTAATCATCGCTGCGAGGACGCGCGCCCGAGGAGCGACTCGCGACACTTAGAAAACCTGACTTTGCGTTCGGCATGTACAGAATGATCAGCCCGCATGTGGTGAGAACGGCAGGAAGCATCCAGGCCAGGGCGTGATAGTAAGCGGGACGTCCATTCTTGTCTCCCAGCAGCAGCCTCATGTCCACCGCGTAGCACAGCGTCCATATCCATGTGGCCATGTAGAAGTACTGGATCCACGCCTGCGAGGAGTGAAAGAGTCTCTCAAGCCTCGCGTCCACGTTCCAAGAGCTGTGTCCAAGTTTCCAGTCCCGAGAAATACGTGGCCGGTCAACCTGCATCTTTCACGGAAAAGCGACAAGTTGATTGGCCACACATTTCTCAGAGCTAGAACCTGGACACGGTTCTCGGAGCGTGGACCCGGGGCTTTCGGTCTTGCCGCGGGCTTTCGCGCACCAGTAGCGAAGCGTAGGGAGTGTCAACGTTACCGACAACACGGCGCAGAACACCACGTTCGACGTGTCGTTCTCCAGTGGCATGATGGACTTGAAGTTCCTCCACAGCGCCGACCTCACAAACACACCTGACCAGGAACAACCGCAGATAAGACACCTATCTCATTTGTCTACGCACCGTCGTATTCACCGGCCGAAATTAGCTCACGGCCGTTCGCGACTAATCCGCGGGCGTTTACGTACTACTAACTGCATGATTTAATTGCGATATAATAAACTAGACCTAAAGACGCTAAGAGATCGGCGACGGCAAGCCATACAATGATATCTCGTCCTCTGGAGAAGCTCCGCCAGCGATAAGAACTGTTCGAATCCTCTCGGGGTAGAATCTGAAAAGATACGTTCCTTCAGTGCCAGAATTGCGAACGTTTCTCGATACCCTCGAGCGTTTACATCAACCCGGCACGTTACACGTGCAAATCAATTTCGTTATCGCTACTATTACACGTCATATCGTTCGACTGTTCCAACTGTTATGCCTCATTCTTAAATCATTCATTTGTAATATGTAAAATTATTTCATATTTTATCTTGCGTGTAGGCCACAATTATTCGACATAACACTTTATACCGGTTTGTTTTTCGCTGTACTCTCTCTCGTACATTTCTCGCATGTAAAACAGGATGGATGTACGCGTTGGAGGAAGAGGGAGGAGGCAAGGTGTGCAAGGTGTAACCGGATCAGCAGAGAAGTCGTATCATGACAGAGAAGTTCCAGCTCCGAGACAATGCCTCTCGGCGATCGATTCCGGTCGAGGAACGCCGTACTTCGGGTCAGTTCCCGGCTCTGTACGTTAACCGGCCGTAAAATTAATAAGAAAAAGACGAACCGGCGAAGGCGGGCGATTGCATTCCGTGGCGGATTTACCTGGTAGATCGCGCCCATCATGCCCATCGTCGACGAGAGCATGCACACCGTGTTGTAAGCGTCCGTATTGAATTCCTGCATTATCTCTATCGTCCTGTCCGTGCGGTTTGTCTGGTGGCAGCAGAACGTCTGCAGGGTCGGGTCGGCCATTGTTACCGGATGTTATCGCGATCGAGCCTCTCCACCGACTATCCTACTCGATCTAGTGACTCTCCGATGGCGGGAGAACCGGAGTTTCCCACTCCGTGCGTTTCGGCAGCCAATCGACACGTTCGAGCTTGTCTTATGATAAAACGAAACGGGGAATCTCGGTGGAAATCTTTTCTCTCTTTTATTGCAGCTCGGATAGCTCTGTCCGTCTTACAGTCTGGGAGTCAAGGCGATCCTATATAAAAAATAATTCTCCAACACGTTACAACTTTATAGTCACGTTAAATTAATCGGATCAGCGTATATACAATAGAAATAAGTTAAAGCAGTTCAGTATTTTCTTCGCTTGATTATATCGGGCCGCCAGTCGACGGGATGCGTTTCCTCGGTCTGAAAACATAGATAAAGTTAGTTGACACAAAGCTCGGAGAGCGACAGCCGGTCGAACATTATCAGCATGCGATTAGCTAAGTCGAGCGGTTACGCAAGACCAACTTACGGCAGTATCGTCTTCCTTGTACACTTTAATAGTCTTATCAGCCTCTGTCGTAATCATGCGAGTGCCCGACATATCAAACGTGATGCTGAACACGCCGGCCTCGCTGTCCATCGAGCCGGGCTGGACCGGCGCCTGGAGCCGCTGGAAGTTGTAACCGGTCCGCCAGTCCCAGAGGTGCATGGTGCCGTTGTCGGCGCCGGAGACCAAGACCCCGTCGGCGTTGACGGCCAGGCAGTTGACTATGGCGTTGTGGCCGGACAGATTCTGAATGAACTTGCCCTCCGGGCACTTCCACTGCTTGATGTTGTCCGGCGACGCCGAGGCGAACATGTACAGGGACGGGTGGAACGTCAGGGCGCGCACGCTCTTCTTGTGATTCGTCAGGGTGGCCCTGGACTTGCCGGCGGCCAGGTCCCACAGGCGTATCGTGCAGTCGTGGCTGCCGGTGATGATCTGGGGCTCTGCGGACTGGCAGATTACGCTGGCCACCGTGTTGGTGTGCCCGACGAGGGTGTGGACGTTCGCCTTGGTGCGCATGTCCCACACCCGCCCGGTGGAGTCGCGTCCCGCCGTCACCAGGACGTCTATGGCGGGGTGCAGCGCCATGGAGTACACCGCCGACAGGTGGCCGTGGTAGTGCCTGATCACCTTATTGTACTCCAGATCCCAGCACTTGACCTGTCGATCCTCGCCGCAGGAGAATAAGTAGGGGTGCCTCTGAGAGAACGCGAGGCCACGAACGCTGCTTATGTGGCCGGTGAGCGAAACCTTCAGCTTGCCGCTCGCTAGATCCCATATCTGTAAAAAGGCCCATCTACTGTACGAGCTTGCGCGGACATCGCTACCCAACAAAATAAAGTTCCTTCTTATCGTCGCCGGTGATGGTTCACAGAAATAACTTTTGTGTCAATCCAACTGGCAAATTTTATTAAATTACGTTTCTACTCGGACCCGCGGGTTCTCGTCAAATAAGAAAAGTCGCTCCGGACAAACTTGAAGCCGTAACAGCGGAAATTACAGGCCCACGAGTTTGTGCCGGCAAATTGGCGAGTCAAATTCAATGCTTCCACCGTGAGCAGTTAATTGCTAGACGAATAACGAGAGTCAGGCGCTCACTTTGATCACTCGGTCGGCCGAGCCTGTGGCGAACCACTCGTTCCCAGGCTCCACGGCGCAACATCTCACCCATCCCAAGTGACCGCTGATGACCCTGTACAGCTTCCACGGCGCGTGCCACTTGGGCTTCACCATCGAGGGCGGTTTCTTTTGCGGCGTCGCGAGCGCACCGCCACCCACGTTGCTCCCCGTCCCCATTGGCACCACGCTTGCGTTCCCTTTCGTCGCGCTGTAAGGAACGACCGCCGACATCGCGCTGACTCCGAAAGTTTCGTCTGAAACCCACACGGCAATCGTTACGATAACATTATATGCAAAAGCGACGATTCTCGTCCCCAACCTCTTACGGAAAAGCACCGAAATAATTATTAGAAAATTACTGTACATCAGTAATTTCTGATAGTTCAATTACTGATATACAGTAATTTTCCAGTAATTATTTCGTTACTTTTTCGTAAGGGACTCGACCCGTATCGCAGGATATTACCTCCTGGCGGCGGCGGATCCGCAGTGTCGTTTTCTTGCTGCACTTTAGCCATGTTGTTCTGTTTAACACGTTCTAATACTGGGCCGTAACAGTCTTTTGCTTTTACAATCTTCTTCATTTGCTGCCTAAACATAAATATTGCAGATAAGTCAATGCTGCTCCGCGAGATCAAGGCAAGGGCTCGATTATGAAGTTTTTTCCTCTAGCGTGAACTTGTGAAAAATTTTATTGAACAATTTCATTATTTGCCAATGAAACGTTTCACCTTTCGCGGACTCACACTGGGGGAAAAGACTCGTGAGCAAGCGCCAGGGAGTTCATAGTTGAAAAGCAAGAGCCTGAGAAGAATGGGCATCTTGTACTCTTTTGAGACAGTGCTTTAAAATGCCTTAAATCTTTGTCCGGCAGTGACGTACACCAAGGCTGATGGCAGAGAGCGATCCGACTGTCTTAGTCGTAGACGTAAGGCAAGGCAGAGAAGAACGTAAGTTGCAAAAGGCTCTTGTACACGACTCACGGTTTTCTCTGCCTCGTCTTTCTGCTCAAACTCCAAGACCATCTCAGTCACAGACGTAAGGCAAGGCAGAGAAAAACGTAAGTCGTATACAACAGCCTTCCACGACTAAGACAGTCGCTCAAGTTGGCGTCGAAAGTCAACGCACAAAAAATTGTCGTAGGTGCGTGTTGCATCCCTCGCATTGCGTCGCGACATACAGCTCTGTGCGTTGACCTCAGATACTGACTTACGTCTTACAGAATCACAAACAGTTACTATAATCTTCCCGCTCAGGCCCTTAAGCGTTCACGGATCGTTTTCTCCGTCATCAGCTCTGTCTTGTGTCTGAAGAGTACAAGACAGACATTCTCCGCCCAGGAGCGCTAATTCGGAGCAGCGTTAACGCTTACAAAACAGGATCCTCCGGCGGCAAGGATCCCTGATTTAGTAAGAACATATCGTGAGTTCTCTTCAAGGACCGAAACACCAGCGTGTGCACGGAGTGCCGTTGGACATCCTAAAACGGGATAACGAAGCGTTTACGGAATTTCTGCCGAGGTTCACGGTACGCAGAGCTGCGTAGACTTTTAGCTCGAAACAACGTTAAAGACAATTAATTGAATTCTCACCATGCTTCGTAGTACCGCGAGGTGTATTCACGATCCTATCCCCTCGAATCCGCAAGACACTTCTTTTGTATTTCGAATCTGTGTATCTTTGAGGTTATGAGACTCTTCCCTCTAGTTGTTTTCAGACTCTTTCCGGGCTGGGGATTTTCCTGCGCTTGGTGCCGCCCGCCTCGATATTTCTGGCTGCGATTGGTCGATTCGAGATTGAATTGTATTTTTTTTCCACGCACATCAGAGAGAAACCTGAGAGCGGCCATCCCGGCGTTTTACCGTTTTCGCTCGACTGATTCCAGCGCTTTACGCCCATTTCCATTTTTGGAACTATTCCGCTACACCCATTTTCAAGTACTGCCGATAAAGTCTCCACTTGGTGCGTGTCCGTGCTACGCCCATTTTTCAAGCGGGTAATGCAGTGCCCAATTTTGGTTGTATTCCGTGCTGCATGCATGAAATGTCGGTAACAGGAGAGTGTTATTGATTTTTCGTAACTTGTCGTACGACAAATGTAATAACAGCCTTAGGCTGGTATTACATTTGTCGTACGACAAATTTTTTAAGCGTATTGATTGGCT